CTCAGGTCAATGAGAGTTCAGTTGAAAGAAATACGGAACTGAAGAGAACCGGGTTCTTACACTTATCTTATTTCATTCCATGTATTTTTCTGAGTGGTTTGTGTTGAGATCAGTTTGCAGTTGGTACTATTGCCACTGGATCATAAAGATTTATCACACACTCACGCTTAAATTAATCGGGCTGTCACAAAGGACAAATATTCAAGTTGGGATGACCGGTTCAATCGGTTATAACCGCCCTACATTTTCGTTCCTCGTTATTCTTTCGTTCTGTTTAAGTTCCGTGGATGAGAGTGCCGTGTCCATACAACTGAAATCTTCCGTGAACGAGCGAATGACTGAATGGACGAGTGCCGTCACATGGGAATGCATCCGTGTCGGCTAGGAGAAACAGTGATAACAATATAAGAGAACAGGTTTTAAAAGTAGTTGTGGTGGTGGTTGTGACGGTGGAGGTGTTGGTGGTGGTGGTGATGGTGATGGTGGTGGTAGGTTTGTGAAGAACTAAAGGATGAGTGAATCGATGAATTTACACGACCAACACCTTCATCTGTATGCATATACGTTCCTTCGTCGTGTTGGTCTGTCTGTCCATCTGTCTGTCTCTGTCCGTCGAAGACCAGTTATTACACAGTAGCAGCAGTAGCATGCCTCCAGATTGTGAGTAATACTGACTTCCTGTGTTTATATTTGTGTGCTGATGTCAGCATAGATTGTTCCGAAGTAGCATGATAAACCCAGGCCCATGCTCAGACAGTGCAGCTTCCTACTAAACCACATATCATCCACCACACATCATCAACCGGTTATTCCATTGTGCATTTTACTCTTGTTCTCGTGGTTGTTCGTGGTTGCTCCAACACAGTTATTTGGTATTCTCGTTGTCGAAGCACCACTGCTGTTCTTTTGTATCCTCCGTGTTGCTAGACCCGTCGTAACACATGGTATTTGGAACAGGTATTCAGTGAGTCGACGGTCAGTTTGCTCGTTTATGCACGTGAAGTGTGCGTGTGTATGGGTGTGTGGGATAGAGGACAACCTGTTTCAGTTGAATAACAGACACGAAATACTCGTCACTTCCGAGTCCCTTTAGCTGTGCAGCGTGAGTGACGAGTGCTCGGATCGGTTCACGGCAATTTTTCCGTATTGCGTACACACACGCACACATGCACTCAACACGTCCGCGCACACATACACACAGATATTTGTGCAAACCAGGTGTATACGACGCGGTTGATGGAAACTGGATTCTATCACATGTATCGTATCATGAATCCCACAGGTTCCTAAGTAGTCTGCTTTGTGACATTTTCAAACACATAGGTATAGAAACTTTCATGCAGAGAACTGTATAAAAGTACATGTCTCTCACTCCGGCAATACTATGTGAAAACATACACGTTCCACTATTCACCTCGGTTAAACATAAACAACTTCTTTAGAAGTAAACAATACACACTTGCTATTACGTTTTCGAATTTCGATCCAAGGACAATAGGTTGTGATGATACCGCGTTTCCCTAATAATGCGACAAAGCAGGATTTTTCCGGATGATTTGAACAGTATAAAACAGCGAGAAAATTTACACGCCTAAAACAACGAAGAGGTCAGCCCTGACCCCATTCTTCATGTGCGCCCTGTTTAGTTAAATAATACACGAACGCAATTTGCGTCACCTGCCCATCTGAAACACTGGTTGTTTACTGGAAAAGTATGAGCCGACTGCACGGCAACCTATAGTAGTGGGAATAAGAAGTAATTGAGATCTATGTTTACCCATTAATGAAGAAGTTTCAATTGTTTTCAATCACCTTACTACTCTCAGAAGCGGTTATTTTAACGGACTCGGCATAACGATGACCGTGTGTGTGTATGATCTGGCCTCGGTCGTCAGCTACACCGTCCATATGACATGATAACCAAAACCATCGCTGGGCGTCTTGGACTCCATACACACACTTCTCTGGTCAGCCTCCACATGAGTTCACTTGCATGTATCGCAACGTCCAAAGCCGGTTTTGCTGACTGGTATGATTAGAAAAGTGTAAAGTGTTTTAATCCTAGCAAACCTGGTCCTAAGAAAAGAACCGATTGTAGATAAAGTTGACTAAATGTGATTTTCGGTAACCTCCATTAGCAAACTGAAACCAATCACGTTGGTCGTTCTGTGCATACCGAATGACACCCAATGACTCTCTTTCTCAACTTAGAGACATTTAATTAAATTTAACCGTCTTCATTGCCAATTTGGTGAAAATAAATTGTATTGAATCGCAGCAGCATACGATCGGTATTTGAGGCACTCCTGTCTTTCCTGTAGTTGTTCAGCTTTCGTTTTGTTGAATTCAAATGACACAGAAATAACATAGGTAACCGTCAAGGTCGTCATCTCTGTTGCATTGCTTTTGCCAGTGTGGTTTGTTCTGCATGCACTGAAAGGGGTGAGTTGTTACTTGGGGAGTAGGAGCAGTAGCGCAGCATGATTAACCTGAGACAAATGAAGTACGCTCATTACTGACCTCATTTGCACATCAAGCTGTCCGGGTATCAAATCAAGTTATCCCGGTATAATTT